CCCCGCTGGCCGACGCCGCTTTCTGCGTGTACGCCTTCGAGCCCGCCGCCGAGTACCTCGCCCACGCCCGCGCGCTCGTCGCCCGCCACCCGCGCTGGAACGTCTCGCTCGTCGCCGCCGCCGCGGGCAACGTCGCCCACGGCTTCCTCGACCTGCGCTACCAGAACGCCCGCGTCGCGGAGCGCGTCCCCCGCACCGTGCTTGACCGCCACGTCAGAGAACCGCTCGCCGTCCTCTCGCTGGATATTCAGGGCGATGAGCTCGACGTCTTGCAGGGCGCCACCCGCCTGCTCACAGAGTATGGCGTCCAGTCGCTATGGGTCGAAGGCATTGCGTGTAACCCCAAGTTTGGCCCTGTGCTGCACATGCTGGACCCGCAGTACCTGCTGTTTGACTTCGTGCCGTGGGGGAAGAGGAAGGGCCAGGAGGTGCAAGGGGATGCCGTGCCGAGAGGGAGGGATAGCTTTTTGTATCACCCCGGGAGACCGTCCGCGTTGGCAGAGTTTGATGCTTGGATGTGTGAAAGAAAGACGCGGGCCTTTGAATGGCTCCAGACTGATATCCTCGCGGTTAGGAGGGATGCCCTGACGGAGGACGTGTGGAGCAAGCTTGCCTCTCTGGCCCGCCATCTCTGCGACACGGACGAACACCCAGCCGACTGCCGTTTGCGCCACCTGCTAGATCAGGAACGAAAGGATGAGCTGTAATGCACACATCGTGTCCTTTCGTGAACCTCTCTATGCGACGTCGTCTCCAAGTGTCTCTCATGTTCAACTTTTCTCTCTCAACTAACGCTACTCTTGATGTTGACGCCATTCAATCAGATACAGGACACTGCACTCGCCTTCTGGCTGCAACAGTACTTCTACAACTACAACACACAACATTGCAACATCGGGAGACATCCTGCCCATCTCCACCCCGTGAAACTAACTGAAAACTTTTTGACTACATTAGCGTGCTAACGTTAAGACTAACTGCTCTTCGGTATGTACAGAACACATATACAAGTGTGCGCGTACCTTGTGTAACAAAACGTGTACATAAACAGCTTGCATAAAAGCTGTCGTTTAACCGACCAAAATTTTCATCATGTCGGTCTCGCCCTCTCCGCCTAAAATTTTCTCCATCAGACTTGCTTCGTCCCCATTTTTTTCCTTGGACCCTTCCTTGAATGCCGTCATCGCCTTCTCAGCAAACGCATGGTACCACGACGGCGTCGGAACTTCAAACGCTTTGCACACTACCGATATTGCCACTGCCGCCGATATCGATACAGCATTCAATTTGTTCAACGTCACCGCCATGGCAAAATTCTCCGATGGCACTGCGAAGGCAAAGGAGCCCCCAATTCCCCCATGCCCAATCGCGCTTTGCTTAACTTCCTTGCCCCGCTTATCGATACTATCGTACAACGTGAGGCCAGCCCCCCATCCCCGCGTGCTGCGAGAATCAATGTCGCAAAATCTTTCTTGCATCTTCTCCGCTCGCCCTGGAGCCAAAATTCGACAACCATCCACACAGCCGTCGTTTGCAACTGCCCCGTACAGCTTGGCCAACGCCCTGGCGCTGAAATGCCCGTTCGCAGATGGCACAAAGCCACCCCGCATCACCGGATGATTAAAGAAGTTCAAGTCAAGGATATACGCAGGCGCCTTGGCAATTCCTGCCCCTGGCAGATTGAGATCCTTTAGCACCCTTTCCGTCTTCTCTTTCACGTCACCCGCCATGTCACTAGATTCGTTCTTTGCGTCTGACGAGTGGTCACTGTGATGAGATCCTGTCGGGCGCTTCGCGTTTGCTTGCTTGATCAATTTTCCAATCGGACCGTCCTGTAGATCTTGAAATATCGAAGAACTCATAGAAGCTACGCGGCTACCAGGTACATCAGGCAGCAAGTCTTCTGGCATGGTACCGCAAAAGCACTCGTCTTCAATGCCCAGCTTCTCCGTGAGGATACGCAGATGCTGTTGGTAAGTCATCCCCGTCGCCTTTGTGATCAAACCAGCAACAAGCCATCCAAATGTTAGAGCATGATATTCTGTCCTAGAACCCGGTTCGAAGGAGGGTGCGGACTCTTCGAGATGTTTGATGATTCCCTCCCAGTCATCCCGTAATCGAGTCATAGGCAATGTCTCCGGGAGAGCGTATGGCAACCCAGCCGAATGGGAAAGCACATGCCCAACCGTCGTGTCACCCTTTCCGTTTGCCGCGTACTCTGGCCAATGCGAAGAAACAGGGTCGTCATATCCGATGTTGTACTCGTCTTGCAAGGAAGCAAACAAAATCGCGGAGAGCCCCTTTGTTGAACTAAACGAGTTGAATACCGAGTCTGGTTTCACGGGACGAGGATCATAGCGACCGCGTCTACCACTTGCCAAGTTGAGGACGAGTTTCCCTTCCTTGTACACGGCCACTTGGACGCCGATCATCATATTTTTCTCCAGCAGTTTTCCAAACACACGTTCTAAAACGGACGCTGCTCGTGCAGCCCTTCGCCCGTTCGTGTGGATAGGTCTGTACACGGGTGCCTTAAGGCGTTGTTCTGGTGGGCAAGCCGCATCCAAGGCGTACGTGGCAAACGGCCTCAAAGTCTCGAGATAGGAGTGGCGCACCCCCAACGTGACGGCGAGTCCCCTCAGCATACCCAAGGAGCGGAACAAGAAGACAAGGTCACCGGGGAACGAATCGATTGGGGAGCGAGTCTTCTCGCGCTTGCTTGATTTTTTCGATTGCGCGGGGAGGTCGCCCTCAAAGGCTTGATGGACGTCTGTGTCCCGCTCGTTTTTGCGGATGTCACCCTCGCGGGCCTCCAAGTCCTTTCTGAATTCGGCTTGCTCCTGGCGCGCCTGCTCCCTGGGCGCGGTCGTTCGGAAGAGATACTTGATGATGTCCAAGGAAGCAACAGGGTCTGCGCGGTTGAGCTTGACGCCGACGTCGGCGAGGGCCTGGATGAGGGAGTAGGAGTCGCTATCAATGGCGGCGAGAATGAGCTTTGCAAAGCCTAGACGCGTCTTTTCGGGAACTTGCACGCAAATGCCGAAGTCGAGCAGGACCGGCTGCGCACCATCGGACAGGTGGTGAACGAGGAAATTGCCAGGATGCGGGTCACCCGAAAAGACGTTGGACACAAAGAGCTGATTGCCGAAGCTGCGGGTGATCTCCAAAATGATGCGCTCTAAATTGACGTCGTGACGACTCATGGTATCGACATCGGTGACCTTGCACCCGTCGATATACTCCATGACGAAGAGCTTGTCGCTGGTAAGGTGCGGCAGCGGCTCCGGGACGTAGGCGTCGGCGCACAGGTGTTCTGGAAGGCCTTGCACGCCGCGCAGGGTGGAACGCACGGCCTGCAGGTTGCGCATCTCGTTGAGAAAGTCAGTCTCCTTCGGGACCATGTTAATCCAAGCATCGAGGACCGGACGCATATCAAACCTGGGCTGCGCACCCGCAATCCACTTGAGCAGGGTTTTCAAGTCTATCAAGTCCCGCAGCAACATAGGCTTCACCCCGGGGTGCTGCACCTTAAGCACGACTCTCTGCCCCGAGCTCCTGAGGACAGCCGCGTGCACCTGCGCGATGCTAGCGCTAGCGATAGGCTTCGCGGGGTCGAATTCGTGGAAGAAATCGTTTGCAACCGCGGGCCGTCCCTCGGTCTCCTGCCACTGTCTCCCGCACTCGGTGTGGCGCAGCTGTTCGTTGACGGTAGCGATGACGCGCGCGGCGGGCGTCGGCGGGCAGTCGTCCAGGCTCTGCGAAAGGACCTGCGAGTACTCTGGCGGCAGTGCGTCCGGGCGGGCCGCCACGTACTGGCAGCACTTGATCCACAGTCCGCGGCGCGCGGACGCCGTGCGCAGAATTAGGCGCGCCGCGCACGTGTTGGACGCGGACCAGGCGGCGTCGACGGCCGCCGCGTCGCGCCGCAGGAGCCGGTTGAGCAGCGAGGTGAGCTGCAGCGTGAAGTACACGAGCAGCGCCGTCGAGAAGATGTGCAGGCGACGCGGAAGGTAGCGCACGGCGGAGGGGAGCGGCATGGCGGCGTTGCGGGGATTGCGCGGGTTGAAGGAGAAGGTGCGGCGGTGGAGGTTGAGCGGGAGGGTTAGGTGTGAAGCGAGAAGAAGCGAGAAGAAGCGAGGAGAAGCGAGGAGAAGCGAGGAGAAGCGAGAAGAAGCGAGTGGTAGGTTTAAGGTGTGTATTGCTGGCAGGTGCTACAGTACAAGTATTGCGGCCACGTGTTTCAGGCCCCGCGGCCCCGATCTCCACCCTATCTGCGGCCGGCACGCGTTGACATTGTCAACAGCCGTCAACAATCCCAGTCTTCTTCAGACTTGATTGTCCCACCTCCTTCCCAACCTCGACGTACTTGCCCGCACCCCTTCCACCCGCCTCCACCTCCCTCGAACACCCCCTCGCCCGCCAGCCCGCTCACATCCGCCGTCCGCTGCCTTGAG